TCTCTCACTCACTGACTCGTCTCACATATGGGGCATTGAGAATGGCCAGTAGAGTTTTGTAGTAACCTATTAATGCTTATTAGGTTTTGAATGTCTTAGCAGGGAAGAGGGTTTCTTCTCTCTTTTTCTGTTTGATAAGCATGAAAACCATTTAAGTATTCTCCTTTTTTCCTATGAGAAAACTTACGTTACGCGTTTAGTACTGTGGCATGAGATTTACTCCATATGCTTGTAGTTTCTCTGGTTCTTTACATTGAGTGGGAAAACATTCCTATGAAAATAGGACACCCTTTGGTCAAAATGTCATTTATATGTTAGGAGGATTACATAATTCTGATGTGTTTATACATTTAACACATAAAATTTTATATTTTTGGTATAACATCTTAATGTCTAAATTACACCAAAATCTACGCATGGAAAGATGTTTTTTTTTCCAAGATAAATTAATGTTTAGTGATTTTTGGTGTGATTTAGAGGTTGGGTGTTGGATAGTTTGGTAAATAAGAATTTTGTGCTTTGTAAGTACATGAGAATTATATGCAACAGATAACACCTTAGATTATTTATTCTTTGAGATAGAATTTTAAGCTTTTGTAATTTACGCTGAATGCCTAGTTATTTGAGCAAATGTTTTTGCCATATAACAAATTTGTATTCGAATATTCTTACACCATTTGTTTTCCCTAGGAACAGACAATTAGGTGATAACAAAATGATTAGTTGACATGAACTCAAGTTAGCTTTTTTTTTTGGCTGATGGCAGAATCAACATGATTTCCACATATACTTTTCCTACGTACTCTCATCTTAGCAACAATGACGACGACAACAAAAACAAAAAGCCTTTTATCCCACTAAGTGGGGTTGGCTACATGAATCCTTTTTCTCCGTTGTGTCCTATTTAGTGTCACCTAAGCATTCTCATCTCAACAACACTTAATTTTATGTTTTTTTTTTCCTGGACAACATTATGTGTCATAAAGCATCACAGATCTCACCACTATCTTATAAAATATTCTTTTAAGTTTAAGCGATATTTTTGTATTACACAATCAACTCGATGCATTCCTACACTTAATTGGTGTTTCTAGTGGGTTGGATTTATTCGTTGTTCCCATATCTATGTTCCATCTTTAGAATGATTAATGGTTGCTTTAGAAGACTTTGGGGATTCATTTGAAGTCCTTGATACGCTACCAACAAATTTTCCTCATTCGATACGAATCTCAGGACAATTTTTTGAGCTAGTAATGTTTGATGAAAAATCATCCAGAACTCTGATTTCAACAAACTTTTAGTCAAACTGGCCGGCTCGACGTGACAAACACAACCATATAAAAATTGGTCCAATCAAGCCCAAATCAAGCCGTTAAATTGTTTTATGTTTATTTTCTTCTTCTTTATGTTTAGAATTATTTCCTCTCCATGTTTAGGATATATATATTTGGTAAGTTTGTAAACTATAAGAGATTAGCTTCCTATATGTAGCCTTATGTTTGAAGATTGATAATGATATTCCTTAGATTTAATAGTTTCCAGGTTTTATTCCTCTCAAAATCTGCTAAATCTAGTTTCACAGGATTCATTAAATTCTACTATGCTGGGCTGCCATTAAAGATGGCACACCTTATGAAAGTTAAATATGTAAGAATTCAGTGGTATGTATTTAAATTTTCTTTTTTTTTTTAATATCTGGATTCGCTTTCTTGGTCTTCATTGAGGGAAGTGATGACAAATTATCAATTGGCCTTGAAATTAAGATGGAGTTTCTCTTTGTTCTCATACTATCGAGGATGGCATGGAGCAAGCTTCTTAAGAAGCCTGTATAAAAATCCGAGGCTGCCATCAAGTAGCGGGAACCATTTGAAGTTTAAATACATAAGAATTGTGTGGTATATATGTAAACTTTCCATTTTTTTTATTTTTGGATTCCGTTTCTTTTTTTTTGTTGAGGGAAATGAAGATGAATCATTGATTGACCTTGAATTTAGGACTTGAATTAAGTATGGAATTTTCGCTTGCACTGAAATCATGGAGGATGGCCTGGGCGGAAGCTTCTCAGGCAACCCATATAGACTTGCAAGCTACCATTAAAAAAAGTGAACCATGAAAAAGTTTAGGTGTTAATGTATAGGTGTTATATATGTAAATAAATAGGAGCTGAGCTGTACGTATGTGAAGGCCCCAAAATAAATACATTATAATTCAGTGGTATGTATGTTTGGTCCCTATTTTATTTATTTTTTAAATTTCATTTTTTGTGAAGTTTAAATATTTAAGAATTCAGTGGTACGTATGCAAGGTCACCGTTATTATTTTTTTAGATTTCATTTCTTGTTCTCTATTAAGGGTAGCAAGGATGAATCATCGAATTATCCTGAAATAAAGAGGGAATTTTTCCTTGCACTGAAACTATTGAGGATGGCCAGGACGATATGCCTTTTGAGGCAACCCATATAGCCATTCAAGGCTGCCATTAAATGAAGCGAACCATGCTAAAGTTTAGCTGTTATATATGCAAATACATAGGAATTGGGTGATATGTTGAGAAAAGCACCGAAGAATCCGTGATTGATCTTGAAATAAAGATGAACATTTTCTTTGTACTAAGACTTTTGAGATGGCTTTGGCGGAGGCTTCTCTGGCAACCCGTATAGACATGTAAGGTTGCCGTTATATAAGGTGAAGCATGTGGTCTTAAATACATAAGAATTAAGTGGTATGTATGTAAATATCGGTTTTTTATTTTATTTTTAGATTCTCGTTCTTCATTGAGGGAAGGGATGACGACTCATCTGATACTTTGAATGGCTGATGAAAATTTTCTTCGTACTAAAATTATTGAAGATGTTGTGAGGGAGGCTTCGCAGGCAATTTGTATAGACATGCAAGGATGCCAACAAATATGGTAAATCATGTGAAGTTTGATTTCATATAAGTTCAATAGCAAGTGTTCTCTTTTCATTTTATTTTAGATTTCATTTCTTGTTCTTCATTGAGGAAGGTGATGAAGAACGTGATGAAGAACTTTCAATTGACCTTGAACTAAAGATATATTTTATTTATTTATTTATTTTTATAATTATTTGTTTGGTATTGAAACTATCGTTGATGGTTTGGGAGAGGCTTATGAGGAAACCGACCTAGACATTCAAGGTTGCCGTTAGATAAGACGTGTCATGTGAAGTTTAATTTGATAATAATATAGTGGTATGTATGTAAATGCCCCAATTTTGTTTTCTTTAGATTCCATTTCTTGTAGGGCTGTCAAAACTGCTCGTTGTTCGTGAACAGCTTGTGCTCGCCTCGTTCGCTAAGTTAACGAGTCAAACACGAACAAAGATTTGTTCGTTCGTATTCGACTCGTTTTGGCTCGAAATACTACTTATCATATATATAAATTATTAAATTAGATTCAAATAATGTTTTAATATAAACAATAATATTTAAATCTTGCCCAAACCCTTAGCATCTTATGGCTACGTGATTATGGTTGTCAAAAAGACTCTTTGTTCGTGAACAGCTCGTGTTCGGCTCGTTAAGCAAATAACTTGTGTTTGGCTCGTTTACACCCCTAATTTTTTGTTCTTTGAGTGAGACAATGATGAATCTTGATTCAACTTAAAGTAAAGATGGGACTTCTCATTGTTTTCAAACTATGGAGGATGGCCTTTGAAAGTGCTTCTCAAGGAACCCGTATGAATTTGTGGGTGGTTGAATGTTGGATTTAAAGATTATTTTGGTTTCTTCTCTCTTTCTTTCTGACCTCCATTTGTTAGATTCCCATTGAAATATCAAAATACCCAACAAATCTCAATAGCTATGTTCCAACGCTGACTTCAAGGGAAAGTATATTTCATATTAGCATGAAGAATGAGCTAGGATTCCTCATTATTTCATCATTTTGGTGATGAGAGGGTCATTGCTTCACAGCTCGAGGACAGAAGAAATAGCTAGCTTTTTACTGCTGTCACCTATTTAGTGTCGTCATTTCACATTTGTGTTGTGAACCTAGTTTGGGTTGACCTGCATTGCAACAGGAACAACAAAAGCAAGCTTTTGTCTCGCTAAGTGGGATCAGCTGCATGAATCTTTTTTTTTTTTTTTGTCTTATTGAATGCCATATTTTTATTTAATTCTAATAAATTAAGATCATATTTTATACATGTCCAAGTTTTGTTAAGTCTACTTGTACCTTTCTTAACATAAGTCAAATCTAAAACATCATTTCTTCTGAATCATTAGATGGTCATCATTTATTGTGACCAAACCATCCAAGGCAACTCTCTCTAATCTTTTCTGTCACTAGAGCTACTCCAACCCTTTCACGAATATATTCATTTCGTATTTTTTCTCGAAGTATAAAGCCACTCTTCCACCTAAGGATTCTTAATCTCAGGAACCCTTAATTTTATGCTTCTCTTTTATAGGCCAACATTCTGTGCCATAAAGCATTGCAGGTTTCACCACCTTCTTATAAAATATTTCTTTGTCTAACATCTACTTTTGTTTCACACAATACGCCTGATGCATTCCTCCAGGTCAACCTAATAACATCCCTATCTATGTGACCGTAATTGCATGTCTGGAAAATTTTAATGAAAAATTTTATCCGGTAATTGTTCTGTTTCTAATGGATGCACATCGATATTTCTTGTGTGCATGGAAGTTACTTGGACGAGGCTCTCATAGCTAAGATTAAGGGGAGATACAGGCCTGCTTATATGATATGTGGCTTTTAAAACTTTGTTAATTACGTTTCATTAAGAGGATTGTATTTAAGGGAGTTATTACAAATGTGTAAAGCGCCAGAATAGTCCGTTGACTGTGTGCATGGGACATTTTAATCTCAGAGTCTATAAAAATGTCAAATAAGCACATAATTTTTTAAGCCTTTCGTGATTTGGTTATATTCCTAAACTACATGAGAAAAAAAATGTTCAATCACAGTTTATATAGAAAATCTCAAATTTTAGCCTGGGTAATTGCCCATTTTTCTTATCTTTCTGTACCGCTCTTACCCGAAACCATTAAGTCAAATGGAGGAAGGTAACTCATCGTCCTTTTTGTGAGAAATGCCTGTCCTGGATTTACTAAATCCTCCCATTCACTGGATTTAGAAAATCTGGGATTTACGGCCAAAGTCAGAAATCCTAGGCTTTATTTTGTCCAAACTGACCATCTGACAAGTTTTAGGTCAAATTAAGTTTTAGGTCAAATCCATTTTAAATCTTGCTGTAAATCTGTTGCCAGACAGCCCCTGCCAGTTGAGATGTTCTTCAGTCTTCTGTCTCTTGTTTCTTTTCTGCCATAGGTAATTTCTGGCACGCTTGAAATACGTCCTAGTTTTTTTTTACCATTATATCTTTTCGAATCTCCGATTCCGTGATCCATTAAGAGATGGAAAATTAACTTTATATCCTGCATAAGGTACAAATTTACCTCGATTTATCTAGAGAAAAGAGAAAACGAAGAGATTTAAGAAGAATAAAAAATTTTTGGACGTGTAGCTTAACACCAATTCTGAATGGCCAGACCATCGATGGCCTGGTGAGGGGCTTCACACTTTTTAGGCAACCTCGGCCATTTTATGATTCGTAGCATAAAGGGTTCTTGATATTTTTGTGATTTTAAATTCTATCATTCCTAGAATTTAATAGTTTCCAGGTTTTAATCCTCTCTAAATTTGCTAAATCTAGTTTCACAGGATTAACTAAATTCTACTATGTCGGGCTGCCATTGGACAAGGTGAACCATATGAAAGTTAAATACATAAGAATTCAGTGGTATGTATGCAAATCTTCTTTTATTTTATCAAATCTTGTATGCAAATCTTCTTTTATTTTATTTTTAGGTTCCCTTTCTTGTTCTTCATTAAGGGCTGCCATTGGACAAGGTGAACCATATGAAAGTTAAATACATAAGAATTCAGTGGTATGTATGCAAATCTTCTTTTATTTTATTTTTAGGTTCCCTTTCTTGTTCTTCATTAAGGGAAGTGATGCGGATCATCAATTGGCCTTGAACTTAAGATGAAATTTTTTCTTTGTTCTCAAACTATCGAGGATGGCATGAGGGAAGCTTCTCAGGCAGCCTGTAAGGGAGTGTGAGGCTGCCATTAAATAAGGCGAACGATGAAGTTTAAATACATAAGATTATTGTGGTATGTATGTACATTTTTCATTTTTTGTTTTTATTTTTTTATTCTGTTTCTTTTCCTTTGTTGAGGAAATGATGTTGAATCATTGATTGACCTTGAATTAAGGATGAAAATTTTCTTGCGCTGAAACTATTGAGGATGTCCTGGTCAGAGGTTTCTTAGGAAACCCACATGAACATGCCAGGCTGCCATTATAAGAAGTGTACCACGCTGAAGTTTAGGTGTTATATATGTGAGTACATAGTAGTTGGGTTGTATGTACGTAAATGCCCCAAAATAAATACATAATAATTCAGTGTTACGTATGTTGAGTCCCTTTTTTTTTTAATAATTTTTAGATTTATTTCCTGGGATGTTTAAATATTTAAGAATTCTGTGGTACTTAGTAAATCTCCCATTATTTTTTCTTAGATTTCATTCCCAACCCTTAGCATTTTTGTTTTTATTTTTCTATTCTGTTTCTTTTCCTTTGTCGAGGAAATGATGTTGAATCATTGATTAACCTTGAATTAAGGATGAAAATTTTCTTGCGCTGAAACTATTGAGGATGTCCTGGGCAGAGGTTTCTTAGGCAACCCTTATAAACATGCCAGGCTGCCATTATAAAAAGTGTACCACGTTGAAGTTTAGGTGTTATATATGTGAGTACATAGTAGTTGGGTTGTATGTACGTAAATACCCCTAAATAAATACATAATAATTCAGTGGTATGTATGTGTAGTCCCTATTTTTTTTTTATAATTTTTAGATTTATTTCCTGGGATGTTTATATATTTAAAAATTCTGTGGTACTTGGTAAATCTCCCATTATTTTTTCTTAGGTTTCATTTCTTGTTTTTCATTGACGGATGTAATGATGAATCATCGATCGATCCTGAAGTAAATATGGAAATTTTCCTTCCACTTAAACTATTGAGGATGACCTTGGCGAAGGCTTTTCAGGCAACCTGTAGACATGACGGGGGTTAAATGATGTGAACCACGTTAAAGTTAAGGTGTTATATATTTCAATACATAAGAATTGGGTGGTATGGAAAGAGATGACGAATCAGTGATTGATCTTGAAATAAAGATGACTTATTCTCTTGCACTAAAACCTCTGAGATGGCCTGGACGGAGGCTTCTCAGGCAACCCTTATAAACATGTAAGGTTGCCATTAAATAAGGTGAACCATGTGATCTTTAAATACATGAATTCAGTCTGATGTATGTAAATCTCCATTTTTTATTTTCCATTTTTTTTTTTTTTTTAGATTTTGTTGCTCGTTCTCATTAAGGGGTGGGATGTGGAATCATCTTTTGACTTTGAATAACTGGTGAAAATTTTCTTAGGTGAATAATGTGAAGTTTAAATACATATGAGTTCAATGCAAGCGTGTTCTATTTTTATTTTATTTTAGGTTTTATTTGTTGTTAAAGATAGATTTTATTTATTAATAATTTTTTTTTTGTATTGAAACTATCCCTGATGGTTTGGGGGAGACTTATGTGTAAACCGACAAGACACTCAGTTGCCATTAAATAAGGCGCCTCAAGTGAAGTTTCATTGCATATGAATATTGTGGTATATATGTAACGACCCAATTTTATTTTCTTTAGATTCAATTTCTTGTTCTTTTAGGTAGGCAATGACGAATCATTGATTAAACTTGAACTAAAGATAGGCCTTTTCATTGTTTTCAAACTATCGAGGGTGGCCTGGATAAGGGCTTCTCAGGCAACCTGTAGACATGTGAGGGGTTGAAGGTTGGATTTAAAGATTATTAATAAATTATTTGTTGACAAATAAAATTGTTTGGAAACATTAATAAATGTTTTTGACATTGTCTAAATTGAATTCATTTATCTTTTGTGCTTTAAAATTTGTTCAAATTTAACTATTTACTATTTTGAATAATTTTAATGGAATATTTATCTAGCTGATTTTATTTACAGCCTGATCTACTCGCCTACCCTCTCACCCACTTATTTACTCCTCCCTTGCCTGAGATGCATACGGTGCCCGATCTCCACCGTCCATCACAGCAAAGCATACGGTGTCCGTATGGAATAATTTTTTCTTGCCTGAGACCCTCGCCGTCGCTGGTACAGTCATGATCGGAGCTACATGGGAAGGTTAACGACAGGATTGCGGCATATACAAAGATATCCAAACTCATGTATAGCTAACCGTCATATTTCTCTTCCTTCCGTCCACCCCCCTACTCCAGCTCCTCTAAATCCTGTAAATCCATCTTCCAACGGGATTTAAGGCAAAATGGAGGTGAAATGGGATTTAAAATTCGTGCAGGATTGAAAGTTGACATTTTTGCTGTTTGGCAGGATTTAGGTTAAATCCTGCTACCAAACAGCCCCTTAAAATTATCATTTTTTTGTGCTGTTTGGCCGGATTCAGTTTATATCTTTTATAAATCCTGCTCAATTCCTGCTACCAAATAAACCTTCAAGAGCATGCTCTCGTTTGGTCCGTTCTGTGATTTGGGCAAAAAATTTTATATGGTATGCACATCTTCTAAAAATTTTTAGCGCTCTGCTAGATGAGATATTCTTCATTCTCTTCTGTTTCTGCTGACCTTCATATATTTTCCCATTTCTTTTCCGTCGTGGCTGAGTGGCCTAGTTTCTGCTATTCTTGGTATCCCTAATATTTTTGTCTTACTGTTTTTTATCTATCGGACTCTCCGATTACGTAATCCATTAAGAGAGGGAAATCTGAAATCATATCCTGCATGATCACCTCTATTTATTCAGGGAAACGAAAAAAAAGTGAGCAGATTTTAGAAGATCCAAAATTTTGAGGGAGTGTAGCTTAGCACTTTTTTTGAATGGCCAAGGCATTGAGGATAGCCTTGTGAGGGGCTTTACTTAAAAATAAAAATAAAAAAATCAGTTTTTCTATGAAGTTTCATAGAGGCAGATATTAAACATATGTGGGTGAGTTGTTTTGATAAACTTTTCGATGAAGTTTCATAAAATATCGTTAATAATAGTAAAACATTTTACTTTTATCATTGCATTACTAAAAGAAGTTGAGGAGGCTTTAAAAAATTCAAGGGTGGAAAATCAATAGGACTTGATAATATTCCAATTGAAGTGTGGAAAATTTATGAGATTTGAGAATTTCTTGGCTTACTAAATTGTTTAATATTATGTTAAAAACTAAAAAGATCCCTGAGGAGTTGAGGAAAAATGTTTTGGTCCCCATTTTTAAGAAGAAAGGGGACGCACAAGAGTGTGCAAATTATAGAGGAATTAAGTTGATGTGTCTAATTGAACATTGGTTGAGATGTGATACAAAGATTTCTCGTAATCAGTTTGGATTTATGACAGACAAGTCTACTATGGAAGCTATACATTTATTGAGAGATTTGATGGAGAAGTACAAAATAAGGAGGATCTACCTATGGTTTTTGTTGATTTAGAAAATGCTTATAATAAGGTTCCAAGAGAAGTCTTTTGGAGAGTTCTAGAGAAGAAATACGTTGATATGGCTTATTTTCAGGCCATTAAAGATATGTATACTAGAGGTGTTACTTATATTCGAACAAAAGGAGGATTTACTACTAAAATTACATTACATGTATTCAGTTCTAGATTTATACTACACCCATTATTTTATTAAATTACTTGTGAGAGTATCTATATTCTAAGATTTTATCCTAATATTAGTTTCATGGACTAAATTTTTTTGTCTGCATGTTTTCATAATATTGGAACGCTTGCTTATTTCACGCTAAACTTAGGCATCGGTGTAACGACCCTCGCACACTTTTTATGTATTCATATCGTACGTTTCTTCGCTTCCAGGGGTGCACCAACATTTACACACTGATTTAAAAGACTCATGTTATGATTTCCAGAAAAAAATTTAATGCTGGCTATCGACTACCTAACACAAACCTCTACTTTTCGCTTGGGGCCTAACAATGACAGTGTTATTTTTTTCAAATAAAAAAAAATACATAAATGCAAAATTAATCTCAAATGGCCCCTAAATATCTTTTTTAAATCTCATTTCTTGTTTTTTTATTGTGGGAAGCCATGATGAATCATCGATTGATCTTGAAATAACGATAGAATATCTTCTTGCACTAAAGCTTTTGAGGATGGCCTGATTAGTGACTTCTCAAGGCAACCCATTGATATGCTGGGCTACCATTTAATAAAGTGAATTGTGCTAAAGTTTAGGTGTTACGTGTGTAAATGCATTGGAATTGAGTGGTGTGTTGAGAAAAGCGATGAGGAATCGACGATTGATCTTGAAGTAAAGATGGGATTTATTCTTGTATTGAAACTATTGTGGATGGCCTAGGCGGCCAGGCAACCTGTATAGACATGCCCGTATGCCAGTAAATAATGTGAATCATTTGAGGTTTAAATACATATGTGTGTTCTATTTTTCTTTTATTTTAGATTTCATTTCTTTTTCTTCATTTAGGGAAACGATGAAGAATCATTGATTGATCTTGAGCTAAAGATGAACTTTTTATTATTTTTGTATTGAAGCTATTGCAAGGTTTCTATTTAATAGAGTGAGCCATGTGTGGTTTAATTACATAAGAATTTATTGGTATGCAACCCATTTTTATATTCTTTGGATTTTTTATTTAATAGAGTGAGTCATGTGTGGTTTAATTACGTAAGAATTTTGTGGTATGCATGTAAATTTCCAATTTTTATATTCTTTAGATTTCATTTCTTCTTATTTGTTGGAAGCAATGGAGAATCATTGATTGAAACTATCTAGGATGGCCTTAAATATGGCGAGTCATGTGAAATTTAAATATTTAAGGAATCAGTGCTATGTATGTATATCCTTCATTTTCGTTTTGTTTTTAAATTCTATTTAATGGTCTTCGTTGAGGGACGCAGTGGTGAATCATTTGACTGATCTTGTACTTAAGTTGGATTTTTTTCTTATATTGAAACTATCGAGGATGGCCTTAAATACAGCGGAGCATGTGAAGTTTAAATATTAAAGAAATCAGTGGCATGTATGTAAATGCTCTAGTATTATTTTTTTTCGGATTTCATTTCTTGTTTTTTCGTAAGGGGAGCGATGATAAATCATCGCTCGATCATAAATGAAGATAGAATTTTTTCTTGCACTGAAACTATTGAGGATTGTGTTAGGTAGTCGACAGCCAGCGTAAGATGTGTCGAACAAAATCATGACTGAAACTATTGAGGATGGCCTGGGTGGAGGCTTCTCAGGCAACCAATATATAAGACATGGGAGGTTACCTTAAGATATAGTGAATAATGTTAAAGTTTTGGTGTTGTATATGTCAGTACATAAGCATTGGGTGGCATGTATGTAAATGCCCCAAAATAGCACTAAATGTATGTATAGCCCCTATTTAATTTTTAGATTCCATTTTTTGTGAAATTTAAATATTTAATATTTATGTAAATACCCCTTTATTATTATTTTTTAGATTTCATTTCTTGTTCTTCGTATAGGGAAGCGATGTGAATCATTGATTGATTTTGAATGAAAGGTGGGATTTTTCCTTGCACTGTAACTAGTGAGGATGACCTTGGTGGAGGCTTCTCAGGCAACCCATATGTACATGCAAGGTTGCCTTCAAATAAGGTGAATCATGTGAAGCTTAAATACCTAAGAATTCAGTGGTATGAATATTAATCTCCTTATTTTATTTTTAGATTTAATTTCTTTTTCTTCTTGGAGAAAAACGACGAAGAATCAATGATGGATGTTGAACTAAAGATGAAATTTTTCCTTGTGTTGAAATTATCGAGGATGGCCTGGGGGAAGCTTTCAGGCGATCATATAGAAATGCAAGGTTGCCATTATATAAGGTGTACCCTGTGTTGTTTAAATACTTAAGAATTCAGTGGAATGTATGTAATCTCTGTTTTTTATTTTAGTTTTGGGATAATTACATACAAACCACTCGAAACATTGCTATTTACAAATTAACCACCCAGGTGATTTTTTTGAACTACCGACCCAATCTATTTACGTGTGCCTCTATCAAAATAGTTGGAATATGATAAAAATGAAAAATATGGTTTGGGGTTTTATCATGAAATTTGATATTTGATTGACAATTTAAAAAATGCAAGAGGGTGGTGGGATCGACTTTGAATTGAAGGCGGAATTTTTATGTTTTCAAAATTAAGTGAAGTAATTTTCTCTTTTACCTACCTTATCTTTCAGGCATTTGAGGCATTGAGAATAGCCCAGGAGAGTTTCTTAGTGGCCTGTTCACGATTATTAGGTTTTGAACATCTAAGGTGGAAGAGAGTTTTTTCATTCTCTCTCTCTATTTGATAAGTGTTAAAAACATTTCAGTATTCTCCTTTTTCTCTATGAGAATCTGACCTTATGCGTTGTTTGGTAATGTGGCATGAGATTTACCCCGCATGCTTGGAGTTTCTTTGGTTCGTTACATTGAGTGGAAAGAAAATCCTACCAATATAGGACACCCTTCGGTCAAAATTACATTTAAATTAAAGGAGGTTGAATATTCTCACGTGTTTATATATTTAACACCTATAATTTTAAACTTTTTTGAATAACTTCTTAGTGTCTAAATTTCATCAAAATGTACAAATGAAATGATGTTTTTTACATTGTATAAATTAATGTTAAAGATATTTTTGGTGTTAGAGGTTGGCTGTTTTTGATATTTATATACATAAGAATTTTGAGGCTTGTATGCAAATATATAAGATTTAAATAGTTGGTGGAAAAATAATGTGCAAGAAGAGATAAAATATAAGAAGTTATGTTATAAAAATTGGTTTAAATTTAAAGTTTAGAGAAGTGAGAAAAATATCAAACGGCCGGCAGAGAGTCTATAAAAACAATCTATGACGCTAATAATTTTGCTTTTAGTGATTTTTGTAATAGATTAGATACAAAGAATGGTAAAAAATATATGTATAAACTAGCCAAACAAAGAGAAATGAGATATAAAGATTTAACTCAAGTAAAGTGTATTAATGATGAAAATAAAAAAGTGCTCTTCTTAGAAAAAGATATGTTGCTGTATGTAAATATATAAGAGTTATATATACTACAACTCTGAGATTATTATTCAACTTGAGATAGAATTTAAAGGTTTTGTAAATTACTCTGAATGCCTTGTTATTTTGAACAAATGTGTTTGCCATCTAACAAATGTTCGATCACAAGTAACAGCTCTGTCATACATATCTTTTGATAAATTGAATATAAACCATCTGAACACCCTTTTTTTCTTTTTCAAGAACACTCCAAAGTACCTCCCTTAAAGCCTTATCATAAACTTTTTCTAAATCAACAAAAATCGTATGTAGAACCTCTTTTTTATGTACTTCTCCATCAAACCTCTCAATAAATGTATAGCTTTTATAGTAGACTTGTCCCGCATGAATCCAAACTGATACCAAGAATTTTTTTTATCTCGTCATAACCTATGTTTGATTCCTCTCCTATAACTTTGATGTTTGTCGCATTAACTTAATTTCTCAATAATTTGCTCAAACTTATGCATCCCCTTTGTTTTTAAATATATGAACCAATGTACTCTTTCTTCACTCATCAGACAATTTTTTTTGTTTTTAAAACACTATTAAAAAGTTTAGTAAGACAAGTAATCATATTTCATATTAGCATGAAGGATAAGCTAAGAGACCACATTATTTCATTATTTCTTGTAAGAGATCATTGCCTCACCGCTTGATCAGAGAAGAAATAGTTCCCTTTCTATTACAGCTATCTATTTAGAGCTGCCATTCACATTTGTGTTGTGAGCTCAGTTTGAGTTGGCCTGCAACGCATGTCTGAAAATTTTTATCGAATTGGTGGCTTTTTTGTGGGAATGATATTAATTTGAAGGAGGCTCTTCTAGCTTAAGATTAATGGGACTTAAGGGCGTGCTGATATGTTGTGTGGCTGTTAAAATTTTGTTAACTGCATTTCATTAAGAGGATTGTATTGCAGGGAGCTATTACGAATGAGTAAAGTGCCAAAATAGTCAATTGACTGTTTGCATGTGGGCAGTTAAGTCCCAGAGTCTATAAATGTGCCAAGTTAATATACATAATTTTTAAATTGGCGCTGAATTAGTTCTTTGTGATTTGGTTACTTTGCAAGACTGCCATATAGACAACCCAGGCTGCTATTATCATGTTAAAGTAGGTGATAAATATTTTAATACATGAGAATTGTGTGGGAGCTATTACAAATGAGCACAGTGCCAAAATAGTCCATTGACTTTTTGCATGAGGGCATTTTAGTCCCAGAGTCTATAAATGCACCTAGTTAATATACATAATTTTTAAATTGGGGCTTTAGTAGTTCTCTGTGATTTGGTTACTTTGCAAGGCTGTCATATAGACATGCCAGGCTGCCATTAAATAAAGTGAACCATGTTAAAGTAGGTGATAAATATGTTAATACATGAAAATTGTGTGGTATGTTGAGAAAAGTGCTGATGAATCGTTTATTGATGTTGAAATAAAAATTGAATTTTTTCTCAATGAAATTATTGGATGGCCTGGGGGAGGCTTCTTAGGCCAACCCTTATAGACATGCAAGGTTACCATTAAATAAGTTGAACCATGTGATGTTTAAATATTTAAGAATTCAGTGGTATGTATGTAAATCTCCCGTATTTATTTTTAGATTTTTTTTTCTTCATTGAGGGAAGGATGACGAATTAACGATTTACTGAATTGAAGATGGAAATTTTCTTTGTACTAAAATTATCGAGGATGGCTTGAAGGATGTCTCTTAGGCAACCTTTTTGGACATTCTAGGATGCCAATAAATAAGGCGAATCATGTGGAGATGCATATGAATTCATCGGTACGTGTGCTTTATTCTAGATTTTATTTTTTGTTCTTCTTTGAGGGAATCGAGGAAGAGTCGTGAATTGTTTTTTTTGGTATTGAAACCATCATAAGGTTGCCATTAAATTAGGTGAGCCATGTGAACTTTAATTGCATAAGAATTCAGTGCTATGTATATAAACTTCTCCCTTTTTTTATAAGATTCCATTTCTTGTTCTTGGAGGTATGCAATTATGGATTATTGATTGAACTTAAGCTAAAAATGGGATTTTTTGTTATTTTAACACTATTGAGGATGGAATGTGGTCAAGCTTCTCCGACAACATGTATAGACATGTGAGACTCTTCTAGTTAAGATTAAAGGGAGATAAGGGCCTGCTAATATGTTGTCGTTGTTAAAATTTTACTAACTGCATTTCATTAAGAGGATTGTATTGCACCATTTTACGGCCAGTCGACACCAATTAGACCATTCTCATTAGGTGGCTGCCGCCAAACGACACCATTATATTACAGTTAAGGCCACAACCTGTATGTTCCCCAATAGATTTCTAGACTTTGAATTGTGAACCATGAGGGTAGACACAGTTTTCTGTTTGACTTAAAATTTTACCCTGAGGCAAACATCCACCTCATATCTATAGGGGTCCCTTGGACAACGCAACTCATGGTTGTTGAAACGGATCTTTTAGTCAGGTTGGGTTGACTACCTCTGTCGACTAAATAGATCAGCGATCACGACGATTGGGGATGAAAAAATCGTGGGTTCTTGATTGAGTTCGTCATCATTTCCCCCACCATACTCTTTAAACTCCATGTAATTTAAAATATATGTTTGCTGCTATTATATGTTGATTATTCAGTGTTAAATGATTAGCCTTAATAGAAAGTGCTCTCCTGTTATTGGGAGGGGTAATCGATCATAGATGTTTGCATCTATGGGAAACCTCAAACCCATATCAAAAAGTACTCACAAAATGAGGATGGAATTTCGAGGTAGTGTCTTATCTACTATTCCTCAAAGCTCTCTCAACACAAAAATAAAATGCAGAGTCTGAGGCGGTTGAAATTTCCGAAGCCCTCGTAAATCTTCCTTTTTTATTTCTTTTCTAGATTTTGTTTGTTCTACTTCCAGGGAAGGGATGATGAATCAACGATTGACTTTTAATTGAGGTTAGAATTTTTCTTTGTATTAAAATCTTGAGGATGTTTGTAGGACCTGATGACATCCCAATTGAAGTGTGGAAATGTTTAGGAGATTTGAGAGTGTTTAGGAGATTTGAAGTGTGGAAATGTTTAGGAGATTTGAGAGTTTCTTGGCTTAATAAACTCTTTAATATTATTTTGATAACTAGAAAGATGTCACAGGAGCGGAGGAATAGTATTTTGGTCCCCATTTTTAAGAATAAAGGGGATGCACAAGAGTGTACAAATTATAGAGGAATTAAGTTGATGTGTCATACTTTAAAGTTATGGGAGAGGGTAATTGAACATAGGTTAAGACCCATCACAAAAATTACTCATAATCAATTTGGATTTATGCCGGGCAAGTTTAGTATGAAAGCTATACATTTATTGAGAGGTTTGATGGAGAAGTTCAGAGATAATAAAGAGAATCTACATTTGATTTTTATTGATTTAGAAAAATCTTATGATAAGGTTCCAAGAGATATCCTTTGGAGAGTTCTTGAGAAGAAAGGTGTTGGTATGACTTATATTCAAGTCATTAAAGATATGTATACTAGAGCTTTTACTTGTATTCAAATTGAAGGAGGATTGACCAAATATTTTTCTATTTCTGTTGGATTACATCAGGGATCGGCTTTAAGCCCATATCTTTTTGCTTTTGCTATGGATGGTCTTACTGGACATCTATAGGAGGATGGACCATGGTGTATGCTTTTTGCTGATGATATCCTTCTTGTGGATAAAATGAGAGAAAAAGCCCTGAAAAACTCTAAATATGGAGGTCTACATTGGAGTCTAAAAACCTTCATTTAAGTAGAACTAAAACTGAATACATGGAATGTAATTTTAGTAGTAGTAGCTCTAGTGACAGAAGTGTGACTTTGGGT